GAGGGAGAGAGAGAGAGAGAGAGAGAGAGAGAGAGAGAGAAAGAGAGCGTGAATGAAAATGTAAATGAACCAAATATCGTTTATCACACTATATTTAGTTTTCCAGGGGTTCCATGTAATAAATAGGATAATATGAATCGTCACATTTTTTATTTAACTTTTTCGCTGAATAATTAGCATCACTGATTAGCTTCGTACAAAGTTATTCAACTAGTGAATTTTGATTAAAGTTCAAAACTTACTCAATATTGAAAGTGTATTACAGAATTACAATTTTGCACCAGGGTCAATTATTAGTAAAATATCTCAATGCATTTAACGCCGCATCCTGGATATTTACAAATCTCCTTGGAATTGACTTTTGGTTCAAATTCATTTGAAAAATAATAGAGTTTCGGTTAGGTGGTTGCAATTTAAAAAGTTCCCGGCTCGTTGGTTTCCGACGATCCAGCTCTTGAAAAGGCCATAAACCGGCGCGAGGCTGACATAGCCACATCATGAAATATGCATAGCTCGGCCAACTTGACTGTGCCCAGTCAAGGCTTGAAAATTTTAATTCTAAAGAAAATCGGTGGTCCTAGGCCGAGAAGAAAACCCTCTATGAGACCGTTGGAAAAACCAAGATCACTAGTTCAATTTTGTAGTCAATTTGGTACAAACTTCCTATAAAAGTACAATTCACTTTTCTTTTGATGGTTGAAAAAGTTTATGGGAAATTGTTTAAGTCTAGTTTAAAAAAAATGGTTTACTTGTTCGGCCTTAATGAATTTTAAATATTCAGGCTTTCAGCTCGTATCAATAAATAGTAAAATGTGGTTTTATCCTTTTTAGCTGTTTCTTCTAAAAACGCGATTTAACTACAAATGGCTGTTGCCTGATATCTAACTAAAAAAACATTTTCATCGACAAATGAAGCACACACAATCTAACACTTCATAAAATTTTAATTGTTGAACATTCCTTTAAATTTATAAGAGCCCATGTCAAAAATGGTCAAAATCGTGAACATGAGAAAATAGCTATTTGATGATGTTGTATGAAGATAAAACCATTGGATACGATAAACAACGACCATTTTGAATATCTTTTTCGTGTAGAATTCCACTATAATCCACTTACCTTTGATATACGTCTACATTTTCCATGGCCTCACTTTTATCTCCTCTTCTCGAATCAAAGTCAGCTTTCACCAGTAAGATTCGTATAAACAATACAAGATTTAAAAAAAAACATATATTTCAGGGAGAATAAGGAGAATTTCGTTGAATAAAATTGGATTCATACAGTTCCTACATTGGAAAAAGTAACGATGCTGCTTTTATCCTCAAAAAATAGGTTGATATGAATTTTTCCATCTTAGAAATACTACTTTTACGATAACCTAGTTGAGTGGTTAAAGAAGTTGATTTTTTTAATATGTATTTTTTAAATGATCATCCTTTATAATAAGCATCTGAAGTTGTTTGACCCCTTGCTCGCGACACTCAGCGGGAAGTTCGACATTAAGTCCTCCTGTTAAACAGAAATCACTTTACTTAACTGACAAATTTTAAATTGATTTTCTACTCCAATATTATAATTTTAATACGATTTTCAACCAAGGCGACTTTGTTACAATCTGACGCAGACCTGCCAGTTCTCGAGTTCCCAAGTTCTTTGGAAAATCCTCCATTCGAAAAGTACATTAAAGTTCGACATTTGGGAAGTATGCCCTTGTAATAATGTTCGATGAATATCTATCAGTAGGCGGCATTGATTATACCAGGGTCCGCCTATTCTCGCCGTTCCATTGTCAAGCACCGTGTCAGATCACTTCTTCCAGTTTGGATTGCGGGTTTAACGGAAATTTACACTATTTATGTACAAATTAAACAAAGACATAATGATACGACTGTCTTTAAACGAGAAAAAATATGCAAACTTTCCACATAATTTTTTCTAGGAGAAACAGTATTCTATAATCAATAAGTGGCTACGGTGTCCGATTCGTACATGCCAAGCGGTCCAAAGTACGAATTCCGGCACAGCCCAAGAATTTGAGAAAAGTAGTAAAAATGTATTGTAAATTAGATTGAAATGTCTCTCTCACTCACACACTTTCTCTATATATCTATCTAACTATATCTATGTACATATCTATTTATCGATCTATCTACAGATCACATTCTATTGCTTATTATAGAACCATATTTGTCTTTTTTAACCATCTCGCCTTATCCTGACTAAATCATTATCCCTCTCTCTATTAACTATTTATATCTTTGACCTTGGTTTCTATTTTTCGTCGTATAAACTCTCTTGAAAGGGAAATGATTAAAAGAATTAAACAATTTTCGTTTTCGTGATCAATTGACCAAGTTACTTCTTTCAATTAATTATTCTTTCTATGTAAGGTCTTGGTTGAGATAAAAAAAAGTCAGTCATCCCGCTCGTGACACAGACTTTTTTATCTCAACCAAGACCTTACAAAGAAAAATAATTGAAAGAAATAACTTGATCAATTGACAACTAAAACGTAAATGGTTTAATTTTTTTAATCATAAAAAAGTCAGTCATCCCGCTCGTGACCCTGACTTTTTTATCTCAACCAAGACTTTACATAAAAAAATAATTGAAAAAAGTAACTTGATCAATTGACTACTAAAACGTAAATAGTTTAATTTTTTTAATCATAAAAAAGCCAAGTCATCCCGCTCGTGACAGTGACTTTTTTATTTCAACAAGACCTTACATAGAAAAATAATTGAAAGAAGTAACTTGATCAATTGACAACTAAAACGTAAATGGATTAATTTTTTTAATCATAAAAAAGCGAAGTCATCCCGCTCGTGACACTGACTTTTTTTATCTCAACCAAGACCTTACGTAGAAAAATAATTGAAAGAAGTAACTTGATCAATTAACAACTAAAACTTAAATGGATCAATATTTATTAAATAAAAGAAGTATCATTTCACTAAACAGCTCTCCGTGGACTCTGAAAGTGAAAGTTAAATGATTACACATCTTAAAATGGCAAAAAAGTGGGAAACTTCATCAGTCATAATAGCTCAAGTAGTAGAGTAGCGGCGTATATAGCCAAAGGTCGAGTGTTCGAATCTCGCTCTTGACACTGACTTTTTATCTCAGCCAAAACCTTACATAGAAAGAATAATTAATTGAAAAAAATTAAATTAAATCAAATAGAAGTGGATAAAAAATAGCTGTGGGTCCTAAAAACAGTCGCTACAATTTTAGTATAATCAATTTTTATTAAACGGATGCTAAAAATGGACGTCATCGTGTATATATAGTGTTGTTTATTTAGAATGCAACAAGTGTGCAACTATATTTCTTTGTCTCTTTTTTATCCAATTGTACATCTAGTCCCTCTTTATTTTGTCGAAATATTTTTTTGAGGCATTTATATTTATTATTAGGTTTAGGAGTTGTTGATGATTGTGTATAAACCAACTCCGTTGTTGGATTGAATTTCATGCGGAACCCCATTAAAATAAATCTTGTAAACCGATGGCAGTTTAGCCGGTTTTATTTCCAAGAATCGGGATCGGCCTAGAATCCACAAGGCGACCTTAAATCCGGTTATTGTCAATTCAGAGGGAGTAGTAACCGGGAGGATATTGGGTGCCAGGGCCCTCATGATTACCAATCGATATCATCAAGGAAAAGAAGGGCCGGTGATAAAGAGATTGGGCCTTGTCTTTACCCTCGCACGCCCCCTGAGAGAGATTGATTGTGGACAGAGCCAATCGACCGATGATTTTATCCCTTTCCATCCAAAAATACGTCCGTCCAGGTTATGTTTCGCAAGATGTATTCAATTATACGGATTTCGAAACGTGGTGTAGGTAGAAAGTATGTGTGTGTGTGTGTGAGTGTGTGTGTGTGTGTGTGTGAGTGAGAGACATAGAGAGGGAGAAAGAGAGAGAGAGAGAGAGAGAGAGAGAGAGAGAGAGAGAGAGAGAGAGAGAGAGTGAGGGAGAGATTGATTGCTTGGTTAAACGTTTTATTTAACAAAATTTGGTCTCGTGGACTTTTCTTCCACTTAACATGAGTTATATAGATTATATACATACATACATTATACATCATATATACACTTTATACAGTCTCTTTTACAATGTCTTTACAAATAGAGAGTACAAAAACAAGTTTTACATATTTTTTATTAAACATTTCACGTCTGGATATGTTTATTGATTTGTATAAGTCGTAACAAGATGTGTGTTTGCGACCTGAAACGCGAAAAAGAATGTATTTTGTCAAAGTGGAAAAAAATCTCTACTCAATAGACATAGAAAAACTGCTAAACTCAAGATTTAACCCTTTTTATAGAAAAATCAGCTCCTTGCATAATTGTGAAAAATATTTAGAACTAAATTTGTCTATAAGTAAAACAAAGACTACTTATACAAAGGTTGTCTAACGCTAAGGAAATCAAATTTTTTGAAAATGGTCTCAAATATGTATGTATGTTTGTGTAAATTGTTTTAAGAGGAGAACTTAGAACATATATTTTTAAATTGTCCAATTTACCAACCTCAAAGATCCTTTGATTTAAAGAAATACATAGATGCTTGTGTAAATAATAACAATTTAGACAAATTTGAGTTCTTGCTAAAATTGGAAACAAAAAAACAAGACAATTGATATGTTCTATTTTATTTATGAAGCACTTAAATCGAGGGCTTTTATTGTTAATGAATGAATTTTTATACGAGGGTTCGCAACTGCAGAGGTCATATAAACCCTCAGGGTTTTTGAAAAAAAGCCCATTTGTAAGTATGTCTGGTTCGAATGCAGGGCCACTGGATTCGAACCCGGGACCTTTATCTTACAGTGATGAGCGCCGTGTCAACGCCTAAACTGTGCGGTGCGGCCACCGACGCCCCCTGTTTTATTGTTGCGTCATGCAATTATTGATTTTAAGTTAAGCGCCATGTATTTGATTAGTTCTTACGTGCTATTATTATTTAGTATCATGTCAAATTTGGAAAAAAATTGGAAAATATCTTTAATGATATATATATATCTATATCTATATCTTTATTTTAGAAAATAAAAAGTTTTACATGTTTTTTTATTAATCATTCACGTCACAACAATTTTTTTGGTTTATAAATTTAATGTCATATGTATTTATTTATGTAAAAAAATAACAATCGAAAGATAAACAATAAAACTTTAACAAAAATTTTTGATAGTAATAACTTTAAATTAGTTAAAGTAGTTAACCAATTAGTTTTTAATTATTGTTGTTAATATAGTTAGTTACAGAATACAAAAATATGTTTATAATATTAATTAATCGAAATACCATGATTTTATGATGCTTTTAGTTATTTTACCTCAGATATTTTAGATATTCTCTTTTCAAGTACGAAAACAGGTCTCAGAGGAAATACATCCCTAACACTCCCCTAAGTGAGAAAAAGACCGAGAGAGTGAGAGTAAGAGAGAGTGAGAGAGAGAGAGAAAGAGAAAGAGAGAGAGTGTGTGAGGGAGAGAGAGACTGAATTTGATTTTGATTTGATTTTGTGTTAACATTATTTTTTTGTAAATAATTAATTTATTAGTAATTACCAGTGCAGGAAATTGGTAAATTCGTGTATACTCAGATGTTCAATTCATAACAACTTGAATAATTTTGGTTGAATTGCTGGTGGTCGGTCCTACTGGTATCGCCGCTGTCTCGTGTACAAACGTTGCAATTTTTGCTCCGTCTTTTTCGGAAAATCCCTGGTGTATAACAATTAAAGAAGTGGTCCTAATATGCTACCTTGTAGTACTCCTGCATTTATTGCATTTTGTCTCGTGTACAAACGTTGCAATTTTTGCTCCGTCTTTTTCGGAAAATCCCTGGTGTATAACAATTAAAGAAGTGGTCCTAATATGTTACCTTGTACCACTCCTGCATTTATGGTTTTTAATTTTGAATATTGATCTTCTTGTTTGATGTAAAAAGTTAGCAGTTACGTAGGAATTATTGGCCTATCCTCGATGTGTGCGTGCGTGCGTGTGTGTGTGTGTGTGTGTGTGTGTGTGTGTGTGTGTGTGTGTGTGTGAGAGAGAGAGAAAGAGAGTGAGCGAGAGGGGGAGAGAGGGGGAATGTGATTTTGGGTTAACATTATTTTTCCGTAAATAATTAATTTATTAATAATTACCAGAGATAGAAACTGGTAGATTCAAGTATTACTCAGATGTTCAATTCACTCCATCTATTTTCGGAAAATCACTGGTTTATAACAAGTAAAAAAGTGGACCTAATATGCTACCATGTTGCACTCCTGCGTTTATTGTTTTTAATTTTTAATTTTGATCTTCTTGTTTGATGTAAAAGGTTTGCCAGTACGTAGGAATTATTGGCCTATCTTCGATGTTTGTGTGTGTGTGTGTGTGTGTGTGTGTGTGTGTGTGTGTGAGAGAGAGAGAGAGAGAGAGAGAGAGAGAGAGAGAGAGAGAATGTGATTTTGTGTTAACATTATTTTTCTGTAAATAATTAATCTTAATAA